TTTTCGTGAAGCTGCCGTCTCCGCAATTTGCTGCTCGAAGGCTTGCTGCTGCTGCTGCTGTTGCTGCTGTCGCTGCTGCTGCTGCTCCTGATGCTGCTACCGCCGCTGCTGCTGCTGCTGTTGCAGCAGCAGCAGCAGCAGCAGCTGAGGCTTTGCGCGCTCGTTTGCTGCTGCCTGCATGCAGAGCAATAGAGGCAGCAACTGCAACAGCAGCAGCAGCTGCTGCAACAGCAGCACCAGCAGCAGCAACAGAAGCAGCAGCAGCAGCAGCAGCAGCAGAAGCACCAGCAGAAGCAGCAGCAGCCATCTCTGATTTCCGCCTTTCTCGCTTTCTCTCCTCAACAGTAGTGACAGCAAAGCTGAAGCTCCTAAAAGTTAGCTGCTAAACCCTAGCTAGCTAAACCCTAGCTAGCTAAACCCTAGCTAGCTAAACCCTAGCTAGCTAAACCCTAGCTAGCTAAACCCTTGCTAGCTAGACCCTTGCTAGCTAAACCCTAGCTACCTAAACCCTGGCTGGCTAAACCCTAGCTAGCTAAACCCTAGCTAGCTAAACCCTAGCTAGCTAAACCCTAGCTAGCTAAACCCTAGCTAGCTAAAATCCGCCAACTGCGGGATAGCTGCTAGCTAGTCGCTGACCCCATTGGCTGCTGCTGCTCGTTTTGTTTTGCTGCTGCTGCTGCTGCTGCTGCTGCTGCTGCTGCAGGAGGATGCTGCTCGTTTGAGGCTTCAGCTGCAGGAGAATCCGCAGTGGCAGATTTTCCTCAGCCCCTGCGCATGCAGCAGCAGCAGCAACAGCAGCAGCAGCAGCAAGACGCCCAGCAGCAACAGCAGCAGCAGCAGCAGCAACAGCAGCAACAGTAGCAGCAGCGACAGCAGCAGCAGCAGCACTTGCCAGTGCGGCATGGGAGACCTTCAGGGGTTTAGCCTCTCTGTGCTGCTGCCAGGACGTTTGCTGCCTTTTTTGCTGCTGCAGCAAATCCTGGAAACCCTGCAGCAGCACAATTGCTGCACACACAGGTCTGCTGCTGCTGCTGCTGCTGCTGCTGCTGCTGCTGCTGCAGCTGGTGCTGCTTTCGCTTTGCATTGCCCGCAGCTACTTCGTGCAGCAGCAGCAGCTGCTGCTGCTGCCGATACTATTTCGGTGTTAGATCTCTGCTGCTGTTCTTGCTGCAGCCTTGCTGCTGCAGTACTGCTGCTGCGGCCATGCTGCTGCAGCCTTGCTGCTGCAGTACTGCTGCTGCGGCCATGCTGCTGCAGCCTTGCTGCTGCAGTATTGCTGCAGGCTTTGTCCCGCTGCCTCTCGCCGTCCTACCGTTTGAGAGCTCCTGCTGCTGCTGCTGCTGCTGCTGCTGCTGCTGCTGCTGCAGCGTGGAGACAGAGCTGCAGGGGCCCCTGGTTTATGGCGGCCCCTCTCGCCGTTTGCTGCTTAAGGTCTCCTTCGGTTTGCTGCACTGCAGCAGACCTGCTTGGTAAGTGCTGCTGCTGCTGCTGCTGCTGCTGTTGTCGCTGCTGCTGCTGCTGCTGCTGTTGTCGCTGCTGCTGCTGCTGCTGTTCCTGTCCCTGCTGCTGCTTTGCTGCTGCTACTGCTGCTTTGCTCCTGCTGCTCCTTTGCCGCTGCTCCTTTGCTGCTGCTCCTTTGCTGCTGCTGCTGCTTTGCTGCTGCTGCTGCTGCTGCTTTGCTGCTGCTGCTGTTACTGCAAGCGAGAGCGCTGGAGCAGCAAGGAGGCAAAACTCAGCAGCAAAAGCAAATCCAGCAGCAGCACTTTTTATTTCTTTTCTTTTATTTCTTTTATTTCTTTTTTGTTTCTTTTTCAACTTCTTTTTGTCTCCTTTTTATATTTATTTAAATATTCTTTTTAATTTCTTTTTTCTTTTTTTGCTGCTTTTCAGGCAGCAAATTTTGCTGCTGCTGCAGCAGCTGTCCCTCCTTTTTGCTGCTGCTCTTCCCTGGAGTTTCCGCCGCAGCAGCTTTGTGCGTTTTTTCTTTTTTATAATTTCATTTTTATTTTTATTTTTATTTATTTTATTTATTTATTTTATTTATTTTTATTAATTTTGTTTATTCTGTTCTTTTGTTCTTTTATTCTTTTAATTTATTTTATTTATTTTTATTAATTTTGTTTATTTTGTTCACTTTGTCTTTTATGCTTTTTATTTATACTTGTTTTATATGTTTTATTATATCATCTATTTTATTTATTTTGTTTATTTTCATTTCTTTTGTTTTATTTGTTTTTTTATTTTGTTCACTTTATTATTATATTTATTTTCATTCTTTTATATATTTTGCTTCTTTTATTCAGTTTATTTCTTTTATTCTTTTTTCTTTTTTATTTTATCTTGTTTCTCCTTTTTTCCTTTTATGTCTTTTGTCTCTTTTTGTTTTTTTTATTTTTTTTATTTCTTTAAATTTTTTCTTTTTTCCTTTTTTTCTAAAAGTGTTTTTTTGCTGCTTTTGCTGCAGGAGATTCACTCGAAGCTCAACACGGCGCTGCTGCTG